AGCAAAATGTATTATTTCTCAATAAAATGATTTATGAAAAAAAAATACAGTTTTACCGACAGTGCCATTTTTATTATCACTTACCTTCAGGTTTCATTGTAAAAGAATCCGAAATTGATTTGCTAAAATTTTTCATTTATGAAAGATTTAGGAAAATATATAATTGGGGTAAAAAAAAAGACACGGCCAAAAAAGTATTGGCACACTTTAATTTGAGATTTGTTTCATGAACTGGATATTTGTTAATATTTTATCATCATACCATTACCATCTATGGCAATGGTATGATGAGTCTTCTTGGTCCGGAAAAAACAAAATTTTGAGTTACGTCTTGTCCAATTTTACGCCATTCCTCTGACGAAGTGTCTTTTAAAGAAATTTCATTTTTTTTTACTTTCAAATCCAACCTGTTCCATAAGTGTTATATGGCATTAATGTCTGGAGACTGTGATGGCGTTTTCAATTGGCTGGGGTCATTGTACAGCATCCGTTATTATTTTACTTGGTGTGTGCTTGGCATTATTGTCCTGTTGAAAGATAAATACATCTTTAATCCTCAGGTTTTCAGCTATAATTGTTCAATTATGTCGCAAAATGTCGAAACATTGTTCGGCATTCATAACATTGTTAATAAAGCCTTAATTGGCAAAAATTAATTTAATAGTCAATATTGCCGATTTGGTGCAGGAGTGCCGCAGGGCATTTTTTTAGGTCATGTTCTGTACTCTATTTACACTTCTGACATTCCAAAGAGGCCAGACACATTACTCGCAACTTACGCAGACGATACTGTCATACTCTCGACGGATTCTAATCCGATCGCAGCATCCCAAAAAGTACAGATTCATTCAAATCTACTACAAGGCTTGATAAATGGCGCACTAAAATTAACATAAATAAATCAAAGCTGGTTAAATTTACACTTAGACTCGAAATGCCCTCCACTGACACTTTACTCTTGTACTGTGTCAGTGGACGGCATTTCGCATTCCCTTTACTAAATCATACTGAGAAAAAATATTTGGGACTTGCAATAGATAGAAGATCATCTGAAAATCGAACGTGAGTTAACTGAAAAAGAGATTGAACCATCGAATGTCACTACTAAGACGAATGTCGCTTAACAGGGTTTCATGTTTGGAAGTTCTTCCTTTAAAGTGCCATTAGTTTTGTCTATTTTAAATAATTAACCATCGCTCATTGTCAGTAGCAATCCAAACTGGCTGAATATAAATTTTGAAAGAATTTGATAATTGAGTGAAAAGAAGAAATAGAATAATGATTTTGAAGCTGAAAATGAATTTCCAGAAATAATAGTCAGAAGATATACTTATAATATATCGTTGGAAAGCTGAGAATTTTATAAACAACAACATCTAACATAAAAAGTTGTAGAAGATAATGAAGAAAGACAAAAAAAAAAAAAAAAATATTGCTCTTGTAGGAAATAAGTTAAATATAAAAAGATTTCATAGATGTGTAAAACATAATTTTATAACAAACTCGTGACTATTTTAAATCCATTGCTTCATAGATCAGGTTGCCTGGTAATCAGCAGATGAGCTGGCACAATTCTAAGAAAAAATAAAAAATAAATAGAAAAGGCCGAATAGGCATGAGGAAAAGCAATACTCAACGATTTCCCTTCTATGACTTTTACTTACTTACATAATTACGTAAGTAGGTCCCTCATCCAGACTCTTTCAGTCGTCTTCTGGAGTACTCCGGCATAATAGTAGTGGCCATTTCTTTAATTAGCTGGTTGGAGTGTCCATGTAGTTTATAATGATGTATTAAGTTGGAGTGTGTTCATTGGTTGTTGGCATGAGTAATTCAGTGTTTATAGTGTTGTTATTCACGTACCAGAGTGCTTGGGTAATTAGTTGTAGTATCTTAGACTGAAAAGTTCGAAGTCGTTTTATGTGTGCTGGTTTTGCAAATTCCATATGTTTGAAGTCCATAAGTCCAAACAGGTTTCAATAGATATGTTTAAATATTTAATTTCTGTCTTGCTTTTAATTTAGAGTGCCGTCTTAATAATGAGTGCAACAGTTTAAATCTGTGATTTAATGATACACGTTTTTCTTTACATGTGGACCCCATGTCATTTTCTGGCCTAGGTATTGTACTCTATCTGTTTGTGGAATCGGTATGTTGTCTAAATATACAGAAGGGCATATTTCTAGTCTTAGAGTAAATGTGATGGGTTGTGACTTTTGATAATTTATTTGAGTTTTCTAAAGTTTATACCAATTGTTTATTTTTTGTAAATGATTTTGTAGGTTAAGTGATGCCTGTGTAGGAATTATCTTGGTGTAAGATAATCCTGTGTAAGGATTATCTTGTCTAGTAATGATAGTAGTGTCGTCTGCGTAGGTTGCTGTAAGGGTGTGGATACTTTGAGGAATGTCATGTGCGTATGTGATGTACAGCAATGGGGCTAAGATTGATCCCTGAGTTACACCGGTTAAAATTAGTCGAATTTAGGATAGATCTGAACCATATCAAACGGAGAAAAATCTATCTGAGAAAAAGGAATGAAGAATTAGGTAGTAGGTATGTGAAAGTATGGTCTTAAGCTTGAAGAGAAGCCTCTGATAGCATACTTTATCGAACGCTTGGGCGACATCCAGAAATACTCCAGCTGCATATAGTTTCCGCTCTAGTGCTGTCGATATATAATCAGTTATATCCCTGGAGCCAGGGCTCAAAAATCGACCTCATCGCAGGCGAAGGTTTGGTTGTAAATTAAGAAAGTGTGTATTATTCTGAGTAAAAAGAACCTTGTCTGCCATTCCAGAGCCACTGCTTTAAAAAAATGGCGGCTGATTAAGGAATATAAGACCAGTAATCGAAACGGAAGGTCCATTGCGAAAAATGTGAGAAAAGTTTTTATTTATTTTACATACATTTTTTTTTGTATATATGGGTTTATACAAGTAAAAAACAAAATCACTAACGCGGGCCCCCAAGGGAAAACTTTTTGACATCCATCCAGGGTAAGACTATGTATCTCACGGGGCAGTGCTAGTTTTAGAAGGTGGAAGTACCTCGCGATCACTTCCTGCAAGAAAATTTGATAAAAAACGGCTACAAGAGAGAAAGCACGGCAGGAATACCGGAGGACCTTCAATGAGAATTGAGGAACAGCCTAATATATGGAAGACAATATTGAGTTCAGGAATGGAACAGGCAGTGGGGTCACTACCACTAAAGGACCTACTCTAACGAAGTATTATGGACCTGACTATTAAGTCTCTCAATTTCTCGCCGAACATGAGGAATTTGTACCAAGTTGCACAGCCTTGGAAAAAATTTCTATTCTCCTTGATCAGTGTTATTTAGGGCAGAATTAATCTTTTATTTTTATACTATTATGTTATTCTGAAGGGTATTGGTCCCAGATTCTATTTATCTATCACTAACTGCACTGCCCGTGAGGCACTGAGGGCCAAGCTAAACACTGATCTCTGAAGCGCCCAAGAACAATGTTTCTCTCTACTAGTCCTTGCAGATAACTACCTTTGATTCGAAGCCTTTATATAGGTGTGGTAAAAAATAATAGGCGCTACCCGTTTCATTATGGAAATAATGCGAAGAAGACAGGAACTCTTGAAATTTTATCCAGGGACTGACTCTTTGAAACTAGAAATATAGAAAAAGAGCGTACATTTTATTTTTTTTACATAATAAAATTAGAATTCCGTATTGTCGAAAGGAAAAGGAGGGAGAAGCACATAAATAAATAAATCTGAGCTGTTTCATAAAGGAGGAGAATAATTAGGAGCTAAGTGATTATATTTAATATGGAGCGAGGAAAAGAAACCAGGAAACCAGTGGCTTGGGGCACGTGCCTAATCTGTGCCTAAAGAAGGCCTCCATATACGTTTGTGATAATTGCAGAAACGAATCACTTCTTTCGGTTACCTCTAAAATAATAACCAATATCATGATAAACCAAATATATTCGTATTATGAAAATATATTAGGTGACCACCATCCAGACAAGTAAGGAGTACATAACAGTAGTTCCAAAAATAATAATAAATACTTCTGGATATGCAGGCCATAATGGTGGATTTCAAAGCAGACTTTGATTCAGTGAAAAGAAAATGTATTTGTAAGTTTTAGTTGAATAAAGGTCGTGAAGACCGGATATGTTTAAGTTTAACTGTAACATTCTCAAATCTAGCGATATTGGTTCGAATCCTGTCTGAAGAGGTTGAACTTTATTTCGTGGCGGACCCATGGTACGAATCTCAGCCTTCCCGCTCTGGTTTGAATACGTTTTGTTTTACCTCTAGAATATGGGTTTACCTCTCCTCGTATGAAAGGCAGGGTAGGAGGTAATCGAAAAAAAAAATGATTGATAGAGCTGACCTTCGGCCCAATAGGTTGTGAGCAGCATGGTTTTAGGCTTACTGATGCTCAACTTAAAATTAGTTTATAACCTAATAACGTACTGCAACAACAAATTTATTCAGTTATTACACCATCCTTAAACATATTCGGAAAAAATGTAATTTATAACGTTACAAATTTTAAGTAAAATTCCAAATCGGCCGGTGCAAATAATGCTTTATTTAAAAAAAAATTAAACAAATCGACCGTTAAATTGTACATTGTTATAACAATTTTAATCAAAATAATTATAATGGTTATCAAGAAAATTGTAAAAAAAGTAAGTAAGCCCGTTTGACGTTGGTTAAAACTGATAATTCATGGAACCTATTATTGAGAAAGAATTGGACCACTCGGTCATCGGTTACAAACAACGCAATAAATGCAAGATGAGAAAATCGTTAGTTCGAAAGAAGACAAAAACTAATCAACAATTAAATAAATTCTAATTTTGTAAAATCATCTTGTTGAATTATAAAATCGTTAATTTTAGTTTGTGCCGGTTTTCACTACATAATACTTGTTTAAAATATATTTGCTTACCTTATCATAACAATTAAAAATACAGGACTATGATACAAAACCTAGCGACAAGAAGGAACAAATTTAGGTGTACTATAATAAAATGCCATAATTGTAAATTGAAAACTGCTTGTAACCTGAACATATACTGACAGAATAATAAATAAGCTATACCGAACAATATGCATTATATAAGTTACCAACTTATATACGAATTACCAACTTATATATGAGGTTATACGAAATTAAAATAATAAATAACCTAATGTAGGTTATTTATTTTTGATAATAAATCCATATGTTTTCATTCACTTTTCCGGGCAAGATGCACGGATCGGCATAGATATGAACGCCACTAAATTTCTCTATTCATCTAAACCGATATATACAATTTCAAAAAGAAATTTTTTGTCTAAACTTTTCGGATGCTGTGGGTGCCAGGACGATTCCCCGCCGGAAGTGGCACTGACAAAGGAATCGAAGATTGTGACGAAGGGGATGTGCTTGCCGGTAATCGGTATAGGAACATGGCAGGTATTATCCCATATTAATGCTTAATTAGACTCAGTTCTTTATTAAATTTATTTAAAATATTAATAATAAACACTTTGATCGGTAAAAGTGCTTAATTTTCAAAAATACGTGAAGAGAATAGGAAACATTTAAGTGTAACCTTACATATTGTGATACTACTGTACCAATGACACTTCACTTTCTTCGGCGGGACAAGATCTCATCAACACATCATAAAAAAAATCCCGAGAATGACAGTGTGTTCAAAAGTAGACGGAAACCTAGAACCTTGCAACCTTGTGCTAGGGTCCAACAAGGACCCCTTGGGGATTTGTTTATCCCTTTAGAGTGAGCCGGAGTCGAAAGCAGCTATGTAATTAGAGGTTATTAACGCACCGATTGTAACTCTATGGAAAAACACTTGTAGGCAGTTTTCCTAATTCGTAAATCGTGATCTAAATAAAGGAAGGTTATACTGTGAAACCGTTGTCTATCTTCGGTTATTTTCCAAATCCTATTTACACCGCAAACAAGGGATCTTGACACATTAGAGAAGGTGGAATTCAATTTGTAAAATGGTACCTAAATATGATTTTGAGGCCTCTGCCGTTTTGATCTAGTCTTTATAAAAAGGAATATTATGTTTTCCTCAACCATGTACCTTACTTAATTTTGTCGGAGAACAAGTGCAGCGCAGCGTGTGGTTTTGCGGAACCACCGTGGAATAAAGATTGACTGAAAGCTTATCGACATTATTTTATGACCTATCGGCTCTGGGGAACTCACTCGGCCATCATACAATTTTCTCTTACTAGGTAGAGAAATTAAAAGGTAATTACTTAATTATTTTACTTTTTTTCCTTAGATCTCACACAATTTACTCGTTCATGTTTACTTAGTCAAAAAAATAAGTGAAAATAAAAACTTTTTGCTAAAAAAAAAATACCACTACCACTTTCAACACATGAAGGGTTATGGGTCTAGTACAATGTGAGGAAGTACTGTTACAAGGCCAATAGTTGTGCAAGGAGGTGACGGGCTGATACAAAATTCACTAAAAAGTGAACTTTAATTATAAACATTACTTTTAGCAATGTATGGCCAAATATTGAAAGTGATACTAGTAAGGGAAATTCTCGATTCTGAGTTGTCAGCGAAATTTGATACGTTTTGAGGTTCGTGAGTCCAAATAACCAAGTTTTGCAAAATGGCGTGTCTGTAAATAGTTTAGCTCAAAAACAAAAAGTCTTACGAAATTCAAATTGCGTATTTAAGGTTTTCATATGGCTGGGGTAGTGCAGCAACTTTTTTGTCAAGACCAGCTTACGGGCTTACCAGAGGTTTCTCTTTATTTTACATTGATTTTATACATTTTAAGAATTTTTTCAAAAACGACCCTAACTCATGAGATATAATTTTACATTAAGTGAATGTATTAGTAAGTGGTTTTTCATTCAAGGTAGGTTTTATCCTCATCGATGCTGTCTGAGAGGGGTTAAATTGGGAATTTTCAAAATTTAATTTTCTAAAGTGCCTACCTTTGAATTAAAATAATTAACCACTTCATATTATAACCTTGAATAAAAAAATATTAAATACAAATAATGAAAGAATTTGGTGATTAACTGTAATAAGGAGCAATATGGGACCGTAACGCAGGAGCGAAGAAACCCAAACGCTCACCCGAGCTTTGCGGAAATGTTATAATCGGCATCCAAGAAATGGGCGTAACACTTGATTATTATATTATGAATTCTGATAATATAATATTTCATATAGAGGTGCAGTGGTGTGACTGAGTCTTCGAACAAACCAAATGTTTATAAATATGATAAATGTTTCGATTTAAAAGTGTTTTTATCTCCTTAATTGTAAACTGATTTAACTGTGACAACATTTTAGATGTATAAGTTTTAAATAAATTGGATTATTTTCTATGAAAAATAAGTCGAGAAATGAATCCGTCGAGTTTTTTTTTTTTCAGTTCTTCCCTACGTCTGGAGAGCGTCCCACGGGTGGCGGGTGTGGGAATGGTCGGTAGAGATTCCTTGGCAGTTCCTTGGAAGTTTCTTCCGCCTAAGTCCGATAGATTCGCTGACCAATGAGAGGGGCCCTCCAGACTTACTGGATGATGTGACGTAGGATTGAACGCCCGACCCACATATCTTTAGTTCAACATACACCACATAGTCATGGATCTCCTTTAGGAAAACGCTAATTATCCGGAGGTAAACTAGTCCCCCGTTCGGGTCTCCGGGTGGGAACTGCTTTAGGCGATTCATCGCTAGTATCGCTAATATCTCTGTTAGGCCGAAAATCACACTGGTGATCCGTCATGATTCTTTCTGAATACATTTTTAGTCATTGTACCAGAAGGTTGGATACAATTTTATATACGATATTTAAAAGGGTTCTTTCCCCGTAAACACCATTCCTTAGGTATTTCCTCATCAAGCCATACCCTCAGTATCAGATTATATAATCTCAGTACAAAAAATCTCCACTACACTTCCTAATTTCTGCTGATATACTGTCCTCTACAAGAGTTCTGTTATTTCTTAATCCTTCTAATGCCTCCTCAAAATCCCCAAAGGAAGATGGTTCAATATCTGAATAAACTTTTGTTTGTGGCTCATAGGCATCATTGATGTTCTCATTGTCATTTTAATTTTCGCTGTCATTTAGTATCTCTCTAAAATACTCTATCTAGTCATCTCTCGCGCACCCTCTCCCAACAGTATGCCATCCTTACTACGACAAACATTCATTTTGGACCTAAAACCGTTCCTCATTTTTCTGAATGCCTGATACAAATTTCTTTCCTCCCTATTCCCGCATTTCTCCCATATTTTCAATCCTTCTTCTCAGCCATTCCCTCATTTTTCATCTACAGATCTTATTTGCTCTTTTCCTACTAACCATATATCTATCTTTGTTATTCCTGGTATCCCGCTGAAGCATCTTTATCCTGTCATCGGCATTCTTTTGTTCAATTACATTTGCATATTCTTCATCGAACCATTCTGAAATTACTCTCCTACTTGTCCCTCCCAAAATCTGCTCCGCTGCTCCTTGCACTATTTCTTTTATAGCAGACCACTCATTTTCAACGTTATCCTTTACATCACGTTGTTGCAGTTCATCTGTCACCTCTTCATCAAAACTCTTCCTTGCTTCATCACACCTGAGTTTTTGCACATTCTATTATTCCCTTCTCTTCTGCGACCTTTTTTAGCATTTGCAATCCGGTGCCTAAATAGTGCTCTCAATAGAAAGTGATCACTATCACAGTTCGACCCTCTGCATTCTCTGACATCAATTATGCTGGATGCTTGTCTTGCGGAGATTAGTACGTGATCAATTTGGTTCATTCTTCCTCCAGGTGCCAAGATGTATATTTCTGTGCCGAAAACTTGGTCTCTCGATTTTACAAATCGATGCAATCGGTGCCCATTTTCATTTGTAGTATTGTACAGCGTAAATTTTTCTGCCACATCTTTGATGTAATCATCTTTCTTGATATGGGCATTACAATTTCCTAAGATTACCATTGCATCATATCTATAGGTTAAATCAAAGATCCTAGGCAATTTATCATAAAACTCTTCCTCTTCTAACTAATATTTTATCTTCTGTGGGCGTGTGCAGGGAGATAAGAGTTATATTTCTAAATTTTCCCTTGAGCATTTCCTTGTAGATTCTATTGTCGATAGGTTCATAATCAATTAAGGAGCCTCTGAGTCTTTTACTTATTATAAATCCTGTTCCAGGGTGACCTTTCCTTTCTTCTGATCCACTATAAATGAGGAAGTATCCCCTTATCCATACGTCCTACTCCCTTCCATCTTATTTCCTGTAACGCAGCCACATCAATATTAAATTTCATTACCTCATCAGCAATTGCTTTAATTTTTCTGGCTGTAGCATAGTTCTTAGGTTCCATGTAGCCAAGTCACCAGCTGTAATCGACTTCAAAAAGGCTTACGACTCTATTGACCGCCAGAAACTGTATAATATTCGAGCAGGGGATTCCTAAAAAACTAGTAAATCTAGTCAGAATGTGCTTGACGGAAACAATCAATAACGTTAGAATCGGGAATAATTTATCTGAAAAAGTAGAGGTTCATTCGGGTTTAAAACAAGATGATTCCCTATCACCTGCCCTGTTCAATTTGACATTAGAACATGCCAGTAGGGAGGTAATGTGTACCGAAAAGGGATTGGATTTGGGTGGGACAACACCTGTGCTTGGCTATACGGATGATCTGGTCCTGTTAAGCGAAGATACGGAAACTATAAAACTAAATACGAAAACGTTTATGAAATCCGGTAAAGAACCAGGACTCGAAACAAATACGGATACGACAAAATATACGGTTAGCTGCAAAAATGGCGAAATTGCCGATGATAAAGTTATAGAAGGTAATATGTTTGAATACGTAGAGAAGTTTAGGTATCTAGGGTCTACGGTAACTAGAAAAAACGAAATTGAAGAGGAGATTAAGGTTAGGCTAAAGGCGGGAGACGCTTGTTATTTTTCTGTGACAAAACTACTTAGTTCGCGCCTCTTGTCCCGAAACTTAAAAATTAGAATCTATAAAACAATTATCTTGCCTACAGTCCTTTATGGATGCGAAACTTGGCCGCTTACATTAAGGGATGAACAACGTCTTAAGGTTTTTGAAAATAAAGTATTGCGTAGAATATTCGGACTGAAGAAGGATGAGTTAATCGGAGAATTTAGACGGTTACACAACGCCGAATTGTGTGAACTTTATCCGGTTAATATAATTGAGGTGATTACATCGCGGTGAATCAAATGGGCTTGTAAAATTGTTGGGCTTAGTGACGAAAGAAGTCCTAATAGGTTAATATTTACTGCATCAAATGGTAAACGCCCGAAGGGTAGACCGAAGCGAAGGTGGGAAGATTGCGTTAAAGCCGATTTGAAGGGACTGGGTTTGGACGGCGAACGATGGAGGGAAGAGTGTAATAAGAGATTTGTGGTGTCGGCATCGAACCTTCGGTTCGCAAAGCCTTTTATTATTACTATATAAATTTCACTACTTTGTTATCCATTTCAGTCTCTATTCTTTACACTGATTTTAATAATGGTTCACTTGCCTATTTACACTGCTTTAGTGCATTGAAGGAATCATACTCCAATGATTTCTCTCATCGGTTTTAAGAAAAATAATCTAATTCGATTGTTTCTTATTTGACATATTTAAGGTTGTAAAAATTTGTTTGAAATCGATAGGAATTTCATGTGAGTGGACCCACCTGATTTTTTATTTTAAATAATTGGTAACATTGTATAGATTGTCTTTACCTTACAAGTTTTCCATTCCATCTAAGAGAGGAGGGGGGGGGGGAGTTATCACTATTTTTCTTGAAAATGCCTTAAATATATTGTCAAGTTAATTTTATTAAGTTGTTTGGACTTTACTAAGTCTATGTCAATATAATATCTAAATGAAGCTATTCTGTAGTGTTTTCCTAAGATATAATGTAACATGTTGAATAAATAGCAATAAGCTAATAGGAGATTGCAGACTCTTGTGCAATACCAATATTTCTATTTCTATTTTCTAGAATAAATAATATTGAAATATCGTTTATAACTTTAATTTATATCAGTTACTGAAACAGTTACTATTCTTATTAAATGATTCATGAAATTAAATTTTTTTTGTAGATGAAACCTGAGGAAGTTAAGGGTGCCTTATGCTGTGCCATTGGCTTAGGCTACAGGCACATAGACACGGCTTTTGTTTATGGAAATGAAAAAGAAATCGGTGATACTTTACGCTTCATGGTTAGCAACCGAATGATATGTCGCCCACAGTTATTCATCTCAAGTAAGGTCAGCTTCATATGTTCATAAGTAACTTTAATGTGAATTGATTACATTAAATTGAATTTAATTTGTAGATTTATTTTTAGAAGATGACGAATAGTTAAAATTAAGCGTATGTCAGAATTTAAATAACAGGTTGTGATTTATGCGTCATTCGGGCCTCAGCTAAGTGGATAGATGTCATGTTGATACATTTACAGTCGCATAGTTCAAAAATACAATATATTGTGTTACCTTAACTCCTAAAAATTAAAATCGATACTAAGCGATTTTTTTCCAATTTGTAAATAGATTTATTAACTTGTGTTGAATTTTTGTAAAAAATAAAAAACGACGTTTATGTGCGTGATAATTTCCATTACATTCCAGAACTAATTAATGTTTTTAAAAAAAATAATCAAATTATAATAAAATGAACCGTAACTGAAAAAACATTATTTGACTTGGAAAATACGAAATAACTCAATTAGGATATAAATACTTCATCACTACGTAGAAATGAATCTATCTTATAATATAATACCTCAGTTTTTCGCCGTAATGAACCACTTTTCGGCTCTCAGGAGCGATGTATTCTGATAAATATGGTTTTAAACGAAAAGGTATTAAATGAAGCAGTGACGAATCCTAGTTACATCGACCCGATATTTCGGTGAAAAAAGTTATGAATGAAAAGAAAATTTATTTGCGAATAACTTAAAAAGTATACATTTTTTTTCTTGATTAGACCTATTATTATTTGAAATTCCCTAAAAAAAGAAGGAAAGAAATGATGAAAATCAATTAGAAATTTGTAAATTAGAAACAGTTTAATCGACCCTAGGAGCGAAATGGGTTCAAATAATAATAAACTGCACGAAATGACATAAACCGGAACCCCCTAATTATTTTAAGACTTGAGATATAAAATAAAAACATGTTAGTAGTTTTTATTTATTTGCACCTTATGGAGGTATTAGATCAAAAAGTTACATAGGAGGCATCCCTTGAGTTTCTTTCCTGCGTGGTAAATATCACGGTGTTGCACATCTAGCGTTGTCAGCGTTGTCCATATAAAGAACATGAGTGAGTGGAGTTGGAAAATGATATTGCTGAAATTTTGAAAAACAACACATCAAACTATATAACAATTTCATTTTTTGTAAATGTTAAATGTTTTCTACCTTCAAGTTTACTGTTATTTTTTATATTGTGTAATATAAATATTATGTAAGAGTTAAAATGGCCAGTAAGTGGTTGAAAAGTTCCCATCGTTAGAAATGAATACAATCTATGCAATATATTTTTTCTCACTGGTGTCTTATTTCGCCAAATCTTCGTTACTTCCAATTATCGGACCATCATTTCAAAGATTGTCTAAACACAAACCCCAACATCTCAGAAAAAACAAACAAACTTAATTTGGTCATAACAGGAAAGGTATGCAATTTAGGGTGGATTAAATAATTAAGAGGTTACAAAATTTCCTACAAAATAAAAAAAAAAAATATATATATATATATATATCGAAATCGGATCATTATGAGCAAAGATACAGACTACAGTAAATTGTGCAAATGTTTGGTTTATTTTTATGAATTACCTATTTTAATTCGACTAAGAAAAGGAAAATGAATTCTTGCAACTCATAATACATGGCATGAACATATTTCCACACTATTATAACAGTAGTTCTCTGAATAATATTTTATGCGAATTATTCGTACGGGCTATAGGATTTATTAAATTTTACAGTGTCAACAAGTTTCAGTGAACAATTTTCAGAGCATAATTTTGTTTGTACAAATAACTGTACATAATAATTATTGTACAAATAACTTTTTTTTTTGCCAATTAAAACCATTAAAAAAAATTTTATTTATAAAATTGTCAATAAGATTATCAATTCCAGCTATGTTATCTATATTAACAAAAACGTAAATGTTCATTTGTTTAAAACCTTTAATCTCCAAAACTTTTTCACCGATCGCTTTGAAACATTGTCATAATGTTTCTATCGCATTCAGGAGTGTTTTTATATACATTTTATCACCAGTTGGTCTTCCATTTCGGAATGGCGGCCCAAAAACCTGTGTCGCTATAGACTGTAGCGCCGAAACGGCTGTAACGATTTTAATTAGACTTGGCTAAAGCCTTCTCCTTGAAGGCCTTTTAGTTTATGTATATAACATTCTTCACTGAAAAGAGTATGAAAGAAAAGTTACTATGGGTTCAAAACTATATTTGCGAATAAGTCAAAAAGTACACTTTTTTTATTTATTGATTGTATCCATAATTATTTAAATTTTTTTTTCGATTCACTGCAATTAAAAAAAAAATAAATAAAATAAAAATCACTAGGATCGGATGATTTGGTGCAGAGATATGTTTGAAAATGTTTGTAATTTTTCGTGGAAAATTTAGAGACCCATTGCTTCTTATATAGAAAATTATAAGATGCAAATTCTAGAGTTGGAAAACCAGACAATCTCTGTATCTATACTAAGAATGGAACAACAAAGAATATTGCATATTCATGTATTGTTGCATAAAATATATTAGAAACATCTAATTTCTTTTCTACTTCTTTTTTTTATTTAACCAGAATGAGACACAGCAACGCTTGGCAGGGTACAGCTAGTCTACGATATAAAACAGCTCTTAAAAGAATCTCATACTTCTCTTCTGTGCTTATTTTACTTTGATCTTTCCGTTAAATTAATTTTAATGATTTGAATTTACTTAATACAAAACAATACTTATTCTTGGTTGTATTTCTAAGTTTTGTTTTTATCATATGTGTTTTAGCTTCCTTATGATTCAATGAAACCTGAACTCGTAAAGGAGTGCGTTGACCAAAGCCTTACTAATCTTGGATTAAGTTACTTGGATCTGTACCTTATACATTACCCAATTGGTACGATAAAATCTCCAAATGGCTTACACATAGATGATCACACCAACCATCTGGCGATTTGGAGGGTGAGTATTGATACTAATTGTATCTCGAATATAACATGCCATAAATTGTTTACACCTCGACACACAGGGAAGCCCACAAGAGAGTTTCATCAATAATTTTTAAGAGGGAGGGAGGGCATATTTTGACGGGTTTTTGAATTTTTGAGGGGGACACATTTCGACTGGGCTATGAATTTTCGAAATAAAAAGTTTCAAAGCAGGGAACAAGAGGAAAGCAAAGGACAAACCACTTAAAGGGTCATTGCATATGATCTAATATTTTTAAAATTCGATTTTAGCTTGTACTGTTTTTCTAAGTAGATGAGAGCAATAAAATATTTTGGAAGAAGGGGGAGGTTCGTGCGTTATCGAGCTTGGAGGGAGAGAGAGAGAGGTACCCCTGTAGATACATTCACACGGACGACCATAACTGGGGGGGGGGAGAGAGAACAAAGGGAGGACTTGTCCCGGGTGCAAAGTTCTAAAGTCGATATAATGAGCTTATGTTATAAAATGAATAATTTCGAAATATATTGCCTAATTAAAATACTGCTACAACATTATGGATTTTTACCGAGGGAGTGAAAGTAGGGGTGACAAAATAAGTTGAGCTGTGGCAAATATCTTAGTTCCGACATAGCCTATCCCCTCACGCACAAAACCCCAAATGTATTAGGAGTACTTATCCTTTTTAAAAAGTAGAGTTCGATGAAATTACTGTTCCGTTTCCTCATTTATTCCACTCATCCTCTTTAATAACAAAGTTTTACAACTGACCTCAAGCATGACAATAAGTTTCATTGTCATTTATATCAATATTGCGGAAACGATTGTGAACAAAATTCCAGTAACTTAGACCTGCATTCATCAAACCAAAGGCGACGTGGCTTAGTTGGAAACCAAAAAGCATATCTGATTTCTGATTACTTCTATTTTGGAATATAGTATCAGATTTTAATCTTTGAGCATGTATTCTTGTCGCTCCATTACAAATTGAAACCATATATGTTTTTAATAACATTCATATTTGCCTAGAAAAGAAATATGGTTGTATTAGTTAGACCGTAGTTGGCTGATTCAATATATCTTATATTTCTAACTGCGGATTGAACGTTTTAAACGATTGTCTATATCCTCGAGTAATAGTGTTCATACATGCTCGTCATATTGAATTACCCCATAACTAGCTTGATATGTAAACAGAAAAGTGGGTAAAGTTTCAAATAAATGTGATTTATGTTAAAAAAAGAAGGTGGGCAAGTTGAAAGACATATTTACAACCTTTTGTCACATTCCTTTTCATATTAAATAAATAATCGCTATAAATAACACTTTATTTAAATTTCTTGCATATTCCGAAAAAGTTATTTTTCTAGGAACTGGAAAACCAAGTGTTTGAAGGAAAGATCAAAAGTCTTGGTTTATGTAACTTTAATACTCGTCAAATAAGAAATATACTGGAATGCGCACGTGTTCTTCCTGCAAATCTTCAAATTGAAATGCATATTTACTGTCAGCAGAAGCAACTTAGAGAATTCTGTAAACAGCATAATATTGCTGTAACAGCTTATGCACCTCTGGGAAATCCAAGCCTCGACTGCTATCTCAAAGATTTAGGATTAACATCAAATATGTGAGAACATAGCCATTCATTTCATAGAATACTTATTAAAAGTGCAATGTATATCTAAAAATATATTCAGTGTATCTATGTACTACTATTATATTATAGAATAGTATCATATAGTTTTAATTTTTAAGTTTGGAAATGTTTTAAAAGTTAGGGATCCGTTTTACTGAAATATCTTTGATAATTAAAACTAAGCTTATTTCAATATCTCAATTGATAGGATGTACTATGATAAAGTCAGTTCAAATGTAATGTTGCGATTCCTGGACACTAACGAGTATCCTAAAATGAAATATAGAATAGAATAGAATAGAATAGAAAATAACTTTATTCTGGGACAAAGTCCCTTTAGAATAACAAAATAGAACATAATTAAAATACTACATCTGGCCAAAATAAACAATAATAAAAAAAAAGAGAAAGTAAAGAAAATATTAGTTAAACAAGCTATATACAAAAAAATCTATATACAAAACACTTAAAACTATGATAAAACACTTAAGACTATGTACAGTAGGAAAAATTATAATAATACTCTTTTGAAAAATGAAATAATAAAAAATAAATTGAATTCTTCTTTAAAATGAGGTGTGTTTCTGCTAACAAAGAAAAGACAAAGCTGACAATATAAAATATCAGTGTCTTTAAATAATGATTAATATGTAGACTCATCATTGTCAAATGCTAGAGGTACCGATTTAATTAAATACCAATAAAAAATAATAATAAAATAATTATATAATAAATTAATAAAAAAAAAAAAAAAAAAATAGATGTGGTCAGTGGCATTAAGAGCCGGAAGATATTGTAATATCCCTAGTGAAGTTCACAGTATAGAATAGTACTATCATTTGATGATGACTAGAATATCGAAAGTTAACAAGTATCTGACAGTTTAGCAAGTTTTTGGGATAGGAATTGGAATAGGAGGGATTTGAATGTGGATATGGAGGGGGAATGCCAAATTTTGATAGGTAGAGAATTCCAGAAATTGACAGCGCGAGCATAAAGGAATTCTGAAATGAGGCAGATCTGTGCGAAGGGATGTAAAGGTCAGAAGGTCGAGATCTTGTTGAAAGGGAATGGACTGAGGACTTGAATTGGAGAAGGTTGTAGGCGTAAGAAGGATGATGGTTGTTGATGATTTGATAGAGGAACGTACCTAGAAAATATTGTATTCTAAAGGAGGGGAAGAGCCACCTTAACTCAGTGTAGCGGTGAGAGACATGGAAGTACCTCGGGTCACCGATAACAAATCCTACGCAGCTATTCATTAATCTTTTCAGTCTATCACGGAGCTCCACTGAGAGGCCATCATACACCACACAGCTGTAGTCAAAGTGGGGGAAGATGAGAGAGGAAATTAGGAGTCTACGGGTATGTTGAGGTAGGAGATGGCGGAAGCGATAAAATAGTTTAAGGGTAGAAATTGTCCTACGGGAAATGTGAGAAATATGGTAGTTCCAGGAGAGGGTTTGATCTATGAAAAATCCTAAATTTTTAATAGAGGAGTAGAAGGAAATTGGCTGGTCATTAAGGTGTAATATGGGAAAGTCAGTATGGGATCTAATAAGGGGCTTGGAACCAATGACAATGGCCTGAGTTTTGGCAGCATTTAACTTTAATCCATTTACATTTGCCCAGGCACTGATTCGATCAAGGTCTTCTTGAATCTTGGCAAATGCTACCAATAACTCAGAGGGAGAAAAGGATAGGTAGATCTTTGTATCATCTGCATAAAGGTGGTGGGAACAATGGAGAATTGAATTATGAAGGTCGTTAATGTAGGAACTGAAAAGGAGAGGAGATATGCTTGAACCCTGGGCAACTCCGGAGGATAAAGGAAGATAGGCAGATACTGGTTGATTGGGTATGGAGACTGCTTTGGTGCGTTGGGAGAGGAAAGATTGGAACCAAGAGATGGAACTATTGGAGAAAGATAATGATTTTAGTTTGTTGAAGAGGATGTAATGGTTGATGGAATCAAAGGCTTTGGAGAAGTCGAGAAGTATAAGGACAGTTGGCTTTTTTCCAAGAGGTAGGGAATACTGAATTCTGAAGGGGGAAATTGTAGATAAAAAGGAGAGCTGGAAGGATTTCAGGGAGACATATTTTTATTAATTTGACAGGGATGCCGTCTGACCCTATGGAGTTGGTGTGGGATTTCATTACCGCGGTTAACAGGTCTGTGGGAGAAATGTCGGAAAAATAAAAGTTATTGTCGTTAAAGGATATCTCTGGAGAAAAGCCGGAAGAGGGAGGTAGAGAAGAGGTATTAGCGACAGATATAAAATAAGAGTTTAAATCATCGGAGGATACAGGAAAGGCTGCGGTAGGGGATCTGGAAGGATTACAAATGGATAGTTTACGAAGTAGTAGCCATTTCGATTTGATATCAGGAGCTGAGGAAAGGGTTTCATGGAAGTAGGAAGCTTTCGCAAGTTGCGAAGCACCCTGAACGCTTGGTAGTCAATTCAAATATATTGAAAGATTCGAGAGGAAAGTCCGTACCGTTCTGATCTAAGAGAACTAACGCATGGAGGAGGATCAGGCGTATGTATAATATTATATGGAGAACTACTTCACAAGAACATTGTTTTTTTCCGGTTATTGCAATCTGTCATTCTTTACAGATTGGTGACTCAGTCCACGATACTTTGCTCAAAATTACAAAAAAATTTTTCATTGAAAATCTTGGAAATTGGTATTTCTATTCATGTCTAAACTTTAGGATTATGAGTTAACTATATCAGACTTAAAAAAACATAGAAATTTGAGTTATATAATTTAATTGACAAGTTATAAGTCAAGGTTTTTTATCAATGCTATTAGAAAAAACTATTTTTTTTTTATTATTGATCTACATTGGTGATAACAAATTTATTTATTATCCTTCGAAAACTGCTCACTTTAGATAAGCCTGTTTTGATAGAGAACTTTTCTCTATAACCTTTGAAGGTAATATTGAATTTCCCGTATTTCCAAGGAAAATAATTCCCATAATGGTTAAAATACTTTTATTCCATAATTTATACAGTTGATTCTTAACTAATTTTAGATATTTAAACTAATTGTAATGTTTTGTGCGATATTGTGCTTAACCATAAAAATTAAAGAGGCCCTTTTAAAAGAAATATGTCGTATTAGGATTATGTGCAGGAAATAATATACATTAAACAATAATTTTATTCATGCATTTTTATATCAGAATCTATTGGTGGATATCGGATTACAATTACTTCAGGGTTAACCGACAATTTAACTAGACAATTGAGACAGAGGAAATACAGCATACTTGTGATTTCTCTTACTTGATTACTTGTGCTGGCTCGTTATTCCTTCAACCAATATTTTTGTTTTTTATCTTTTATTTTTTTTATTAATGTATCTTTTATTTATTTATGTAAGATGTATCCTTTAGTTATTTATTAGGATACGAAAGTAGGAAGGTCGAGCTTGGAAACGATCGTGATCTATTTGGTTCTTCAAATATTCTTTCCTATTGAGAGAAATTATTAATGGAAAAATAAAATAAAAAATTGAAATGAGGTTCAAAAGTTCTCTGCTAATCAAGTGGCTCAAATAATGTAAATCATGAAATAACCTCATGAATGATCGAAAAGAGTCGTGGTGAGGAAGGATTTCCCATCACTCGATATATTAATGATAAACTGAATGAAAAGACATTTGCTTGCAGTTTTAATATTTATTTTTATTTTTCAGGGTCCCTAGGCCTTTAGAAAATCCTAGTGTAAAGAAGATAGCTGAATGGCGTAATAAGTGTCCTTCGCAAGTTCTTCTAAGATATTTATTACAGTTAGGAGGGGTTGCCGTTATCCCTAAGGCTAGTTGTCCGGACCACATTTTGTGTAACATACAAGTAAGCTATTTGTTATTATTATTTATAAATTAATAAAAACAATGGATGCTAAAAAAAATAACCTTAGCACTACGACAGCGCTTAGTGAACCGATAAGACTGGAGTTAAAATCTAAAATTTATTATTAGGTAATTTTAGACTTAATGTTCTTATAAGATCAGGACATTTTTACCATATAGGAATGACATCAACCGATAAAAAAACAAGAATATATAACCACAAACGTGCCCTTATACCTAATTGAAAAACAGTTACCGCTTTATCAAAACATGTAAAAAACTATAGGCATGAAATGGATCTCGAAAATATCTAAATACTTCATAGATCAAACTACCGATCAAAGCTAACAATTTTAGAATCCATTTATATAGCAATAAACCAAAAAAATGTGCTAAATTCAAAACATCCCACAACACTATTTACATATAATAACCATTCATAAAAAAATAAATAATAGTGAATTAAATAAGGTAGGGTAACTTTAGTTGCCAATTAGTTCCGATAATACATAGGGTGCTGACAGTAAAATCTCAGCACTCAGAAAGATGATGTCCGACAAAGAGGAGATCTATTCTTGAAGAAGTCAGTATGTAAAAATGTTATTAAATTATTTATTCATTTAACCTATGAACCCAATTGAGAGTTGACATGAGACGAAGAGCAGGAACGCTGTTCTAATCTTTTATGATTTAAAATAGACAAAAATAGAGAAAGGTATGGCATGATGTGATTGCATGGCAATTAGAAAATTATGTAATACATGATATTTTAATGTCATTAATTAATTCATTAATGTATCCTATTTGACGTTTTATAATTATGGAGATGAATGTGGAGCACGGACAACGAAAGCTACTCTTCTAATAAAGTTGTAATATATAATAGAGACTATCAATGGTAAAAAAATCCTGTTCGTATAATCTGAAATTTGCAGAAAGGACACTTTATGGTAGACGATTATGGTACAAAAAGACTTTTCTTATTTATTTGTTTGTTTACTGCCCAAAAATGAGGAAAAAAGAAGTAGAGAGGTTTGTGGGATTTAAATAGATTGATGGAATTAAAATATTTTCATTGCATATATGGTTTGTGTTATTGTGAGTTTTTGCATTCATAACTGATTTTCACAAACGTGTCCTTTAAGGTTTAGCTCCATTAAAAATGGAATTCAAATACTATGTAACAGCCGAATATTAGCAGAAAATAATCTTTATTCATGTAGAGTGGAAAGTGAAAGTTATGTGATGCACGCACCAGATTTTTCCTACAGATTTCAACACGTTCCAATCTGCTTCAGATTCTATTAAAAAAGACTATAAAGAATATTAAAATAAAAATTATCGTCTTATAACAAATCTTATTGGTCTTATAGTAGAGAGAAAATAAGCAGTATGCTGATACATTAGGAGCTATACATCTTTCATTTAACTGAAGGACTAATAACAATTTTAAAATCTAGAGAAACCTTAACTAAATATAAAACTTCAGTCAGTCAGTTGAAAGTTGTTGCCTCCTATACGAAAATTTAAGTTGAAGTGGCGAAATTTGGCGTTTCATTTAACGGAAGGAACAGAGGGCTGAAAGTTTGATATGATGTAAAGAATATGTACCATAAAGAGAATTCACCTTGACTGACGAAATACTCGGTTGCGTTTTGTTAACTTATGGCGTCAAAGTCACCAAATTAGTCCAGTCGAATTGTGGTTGGACAAGGAAAAAATTTAAATAGTCGGTTTCTCTTTGGTATTTAATGTTCTTCGGGGCGCTGGATCTGAATTCAAAGAGTCCGAACGAAATTTTCTATTGCGTTGCTTAATACAAAAGAAATTTCCGCACTTTTTTTTAGTTGTATGCATTTTATTTAAATAAGTATAATGCAAATAAAAAATATAAAAATTAACTAAGTTAAAAAATATATAATTTACTACCAGTTTTATAAATAGCTTTTTGATGTACGACCAGCGGGTGAGGAGTTAAGGAGGACCAATCGGTAGAAAGCCATTGCTTTTTATATGAAAATTAAATTAAATAGCCTAATTTGGCGGTTCATTTAACGGAAGAATAGGCTCAAATTTTGAAATCTGTAAAGAATATGTTCCTAATAGAGAATTCATCTTGACTCGGTTGCGTTTTGAAAACTGACGCAAAAGTCATCAAATTATAGTTCAATCGAATGGTAGTTAGGCGAGAAAAAAATTGAAACAGTTCCCGGTTTCTCTTTGCTTTTTGATTTTTTTTTTGGATGTTAAATCTGAATTTGATGTTCCCGAACGAAATTGTCCATTTTGTTCCAAGATATATGCAAAATCGCGGAAATTTCCGAATTTCGTCTACTCGCATATTACGACTCTACATAAGTTTGAATTAAATTGAAAGTACATCAAAATTCTTATGAATTCTCGTGAATAATCGTTAATAAACTAAAATTTGAAAAACCATTAGAGTGCTTCGACTTCCAAGCGCTTTTTGGTACCCTTAATTTTTTATTATTCTGTATGTAGATGTCTCTCATGCTAAGAGAACATGAAATAGCTATGTAAGTTATTTATAAAATCTATTTATGCTATAAATATTGTTAAATTAGCCGAATCAAAAGTATTGAAAAGATAAAAAGTCGAGTGCAGCAGATATCTGATACTAGTGAAATACTCCTTCGATTCTGTGGCCTTTATTCTGCCGTCTATCTTATCATCTATTGACATTTCCACATGAGTTGAATAGAAAATTCAATGCCCTTTCAAATAGATTATAATGAATTTATTCGAGAGATGCATAGCTTATGAGTTTTGGGAGAAAAGCCTACGAAAACAGATATTTCTTGTCATACAAACAAACAGTCAATTGTTTTAACTCCTCACCCGTTGGTCCCACACCAAAAAGCTATTTATAAAACTGGTAGTAAATTATATATTTTTTAACTTAGTTCATTTTTATATGCATTATACTTATTTAAATAAAATGCATACAACTAAAAAAAATGTGGAAATTTCTTTTGTATCAAGGAACGCAATAGAAAATTTCGTTCGGAAACTTCGACTTCAGATCCAGCGTCCCAAAGAACATTAAACACCGTAGACAAACCGACTATTTAAATTTTTTCTCATCCCACTACAATTCGACTGGACTAATTTGGTGACTTTGACGCCGCCAGTTAACAGAACGCAACCGAGTATATCGTCAGTCAAGGTGAATTCTCTTTAGTTTTATATTTAGATAAGGTTTATCTAGATTTTAAAATTGTTATTAGTCCTTCAGTTAAATGAAATATGTGTGTATCAGTGCTCCTAATGTATCAGCATACTGCTCATTTTCTCTCTACTATAAGACCTATATGATTTGTTATAAGACAATAATTTTTATTTTAATATTCTTTATAGTTGTTTTTACTAGAATCTGAAGCAGATTAGAACGTGAAGAATCTGTAGGAAAAATCTGGTGCGTGCATCACGTAACATTCACTTTCCACTCTACACGAATAAAGATTATTTTCTGCTAATATTGGGCTGTTACATAGTATTTGAATTCCATTTTTAATGGAGCTAAGCTTTAAAGGAAACGTTTGTGAAAATCAGTTATGAATGCAAAAATTTATAAGAATAACACATACCATATATATTATGTCGACGGTATGCACTGAAAATCTTGTAACTCCATCAATCTATTTGAATCCCACAAATCAGCTTAAATTAATAACAAGATTTGAAAGTATAAGCATGTATTTAAAATGTAAATAATTAAGGATTGTACTACATAGTTAAATTTATAGGAACTAAATTTGTATAATTTTATAAATGTTTTTGAACTCTTATTTTATTCCCTTGTAAAATTCACCAAAATGGAGTGAAGAGATTTTCATAGCCTACCATCAATAGACAAAAAGTAATCACACCAGTGTTAAGGAAACATAAAAGAAAACTTCATCAAATGCATATTTCGGAACAAGTGGACGAAGTATACATCATTATTGCCCACATTACTCCTAGGATCTTCTTCAAAAGGTTTGGAGGCACAGCTACAAAACCTAAGAACTATCATCTTGGAAGGCTACGGGAGACTGATACCAAACAGCTGTACGCTGGGCAACTAGATGAGAACCTCCGTGCTCAGGCTTTAAATACGGAAAACATAGAATCGCTCTAGTCCAGCTGGGTGACCGCAATGCAGGAAATTGCTAATAATGTGCTAGGACAGAGAAAAGGGGGTGAGGACACCATGGTTTGACGGAGAATGTGAGGCAGCCTCTAATACAAAGAATGTAGCATACAAGAATGTGTTAAGAAAAAGGACTCGGAGAGCAGTCGAGGAATATCAAAAGATGAGAAGGAAGGAAGAAAAACGACTTCATCACAGAAAGAAATGACAGAGAGAGAGAGAGAGAGAGAGAGAGAAGGTGAATTGGAGAGGGCCTAAAAATACTGGAAGGAGAAAAAATCAAGGGACCTTTTCAAGATTATCAGTAGGAAGAGAAGACCTCGAAGAAAAATACCTGAAACTTGTAGAGACAAAGATGGGAATATAGTGGCCTGCAAGAATGAGGTCAATGGAAAAGCCATTTTGATGAGCTTCTCAACTCAGCCCCCTGTGGAACATACACTGGATCAGACACAAGAGAGGACTTGTTCCTGGATGTTAGGTACCAGGGATCAGACCTGGAACCACCTAATGATGAAGAAAAAATGGAATAATCGGTTAAAGAATAATAAGGCACCTGGAGCTGATGACCTGCCTGTTGAACTCTTCAAGAACGGAGCTAAGGAACTGTTTAAAAGGTTCCAGAATTTAGTCTTGACCATTTGGGAGGAAGAGGTTTTGGCAGAAGATTGGAAAAAGTCAGTTATATGCCCTATCTTTGAAAAAGGTGACAAACTCCAGTGTAAAAATTACAGGGTTATCTCTCTTCTCTTTAGATTTAGACAAGAAAGATCTACGATAGACTAAATAGTCTGCCTCAGAACAATCCTAGAGAGAGGAAACGAACATCAAATTAAAACCCACCATCTTTTCGTTGACTTTAAGGCACTTGAAGGTTTCAATATCCCTGATAAGCCAATACGACTGGTAAAGCGGACCATGAGAGATGTTAAGTGTACTGTGCAGGTTGGTAGTCAAAGGACAGAAGAGTTCTCAACAAAAGGACTTTGCCAAGGTGATGAGTTTACATGCCTTCGGTTTAGCTTGGCACTTAAGAAAGCAGTCAGGGATTCTGGTCTGCAAACTAATGGGACCATTTATAACCTTATGGTTCAGCTATTAGCCTATGCTGATGATGTGGACATCGTGGGGCAGTCGTTGCAATCGGTTAGAGAGGAATTTTTAGATTTATTGGAGGCTGCCAGAGCACTCAGGGTTAGAAGTGAATGAAGGCAAAACTAAATATATGGCCACAGGAGAAGTCCCTCGGCCAGGGGAGACCATCAATATTGGCCCCTTTAACTTTGAGAAAGTAGTGCAGTTTAAGGATTTGGGGTCACTAGTAACACAAGACAATGCACCCGAGGTCGAGGTCAAGACAAGAATATTTATGGCTAACAAGTGTTACTTCATGCTTCACAAGAAATTCATTTCTAGCCTTCTATCCTGGCATAACAAGCTACATCTCTATAAAACAATAATCTGCCCAGTCCTGCTCTATGCTTCAGAAACATGAACGATTACTATAAAAATTGAGCAAGACCTCCTAATCTTTGAAAGAAAAATTCTCCGAAGGATATTTGGAGGAGTACAGATTGATGGAAATTGGAGAAGGAAAAGTGCCGAAATTTGCTCAACTTTTAATGATCCAAGATGTCGTTCTGAGAATGAAGCTTGGAAGATTGAGATGGGCTGGCCATGTGGAAAGGATGGAGAATGAAGCAATCCCTAGAATGATACTGAGAGAACCTCTATAAGGCATAAGAAGAAGAGTGAGACCAAAACTAAGATTGTGAGGCAGTGTGGCAAGAAATTCAGGGGATGTCCTGTGAGTCAGGAGCTGAATGATGGCCACACAGAACAGAGATGACTGGAGGAAGCTGGTGGAGGAGGCCAAGACTTGTCACCCAGTTGTGATAATAATAATAATAATAATACCTTATTATTAAAATATTAAATATAAATATAATTAAATAAATATTATCGGATCTAAAGTTACTAAACTGCATTAAATTTATTTAAGATTATCAACATAATTTTATATATACCATAAGTATATTAAAATAGTTTTAAAAATAATTTCATTGCCTTGATTACATATAACCTTGGTATATGTACTTGTTTTTGTCAAGCATAAACTAAATTTTAAAAGTTTTTACAGAAATTCCCTTCAGTTTCCATGGATAATTTTTTTTTCCATTCAATAACATAAAATTACACATTATTAACTAATACAATTACTCATTATTTTTTACAATTAAATTTTATTATAAGAACTTTTAAGGAATTTATATATTAGATTTTTTTTTTTCAAATATTTAGCTTTCCAAAGATATATTATACATATATACTCCACTTATATATATATATATATATATATATATATATATATATATATATATATATATATATATATATATATATATATATATAAATATATATCGAAAATATATGTTTTCAAGAAAATTATGAAAATGAGTAAAATTGATGTAAAGTGGAACATCCAGTTTCCGATTTTAGGAAAATAGTTGCAGTAACATACCAGATATATAACTACATTAAATATGAAATTTAAATTTTCTACAACTTGCCATTTATTACACACACGCAAACATAAAGACTATTTTGTGGGTTATTACTAGTACTTGGTTATTTGAACTTAGAGAACTTAAAAACGTGTATTTCAGTTGAAAGCTAAGATTCAAAATTTTTCATTTTCAGTTGCTTTATTGATAAACTAAAATTAATTATATTAATACGTTTTGTATTTTTTCTAACTTCTAACAGGTTGCAAGCACCCCTGAAAATTGGCTGCAGCTCTGGGGCAATGGCTGCCCCGGTTTCCTCGCCTTCAGCCGGCCCTGTTTCTACATGTTTTAATCATCTTTAGATTTATAATTTGATTTATAGATCTAGTTTAAGTAGTTATAAACCTACACCAAAGATACTAAGATACTTATAAGCTGTTAATTGATTGTGACATTACATAATCGGTTTTGATTACAGTTATTTGATTTTTGCTTGGACTCTTGTGAAATGATTGAATTGAAGTCCATGGATATGTGTAGTAAAGGAAGAATGTATGGCAGTAATATCTGGCTTGGTACTGAAAAACACCATGAATATCCTTTTTAATGTAAACTGAGCGTGTTGATGAAGAGAAAATATAAATTTTTAAGTCTACTGAATTTTGATTCATTGTTAATCTATGATGCCATTATAAGAAACAAATTAGGCATGGGTTGATACAAGAAATTCTTGTATCTTGATACAGCTGATATTGATACTTTTTTTTCTGATAAAAAAGGATCAAAAGTTTGCCATTATCTTTCCACAACTTTATATCTGATGCAGTATTCATTGTGATCTATATCTGATATTATAACACTACAATGATCTGAAAAATGGCTTTTTCGTAGAATGTTAATCAGTTACTGGGCATAAGAAATGACTCATTGTCTATTATAATCAAAATAGGAGGAGGGTATAATTTCCTGTTTCAATATCGAGGTAGTGGGAATGGAAATATATTGGTTTAATTAATGTTTTTCCACCATAGAATGCAGCAAAATAGTTTTTTCTCCATTTTCACTAAAGTTGGTGATGCATAATGATTTAAAAGCTGTGGAGTGAAATGAAATGAAAATATATTTTATTATTCTGAGACTTTTGTCCCTTTAGAACAAATTATAAGTGCTGAATTCATGTGTAAGTTGTAATAAATAAAGTAGATATTTACAATATTGGTTATTTAAAAGTAAAAATACAGGTGGAAAGAGAGAAAACGACATAAAAAGCATAAATATACATACATAATAATCATAATACATACATAATAATCATAATACATAAGTACATAAAGTGTACATAATATAAACAGAGAAAACTTAAATAACAAAAATATTTTCTAGGGGTACTTAGATAACTGTCTTAGGTATATTTAGTGATCAGGCAGATTAAGAAAGGAGTAGGTGCTTAAAGAGGAGGGGTTTGAAAGAGGAAACTGATTGTGCGTGTCGAATATCAACAGGGATGGAATTCCAGTAGGTGGCGGCTAGATTTGCAAATGATTTGTCAAACACAGCAGATCGGTGAGGAGGGAGATAGAGGTTGGAAGTGCGAGATATCGTAGGACGGGATTGGATGTAGTATTTAAATTGTAAGCTATGGAAAATATAGGAGGGTCGATGAGTTCTAATGATCTGGTACAGAAAGATAGCTAGGAAGTATTGATGGTGATAGGATGGATAGAGCCACTTCAACTCGGTGTAATACTGGGTTATATGCGTAATAAAAACCGTAACTTTTGTGGTTGTGTAGGCAAAAATTTACTTGGCATATTTTACTGGAAGCATCTTTTGGTTTTTCTAATTCATAATACATTTGAATTGTTTTAAAATAATCAGTAATATTTTTTATTATTTTACACAAAAAAAACAACACATCAATTGATATATCCATGCAACCTAAAAATCCATGCAGAGCAAAGGCAGAATAGGCAAGAACCCTCATAAATGGATTTAGTACTTTTTGACCTAGTATTACCCAAAAAAAATTTCACTGATATCGATGCTCTCATCTTCATAAGTTCTGCTTGTATGTGAATTTACTATATAATTTAATTATACCACACATTTAATTTAAATTAAATGCAGTCCATTCTTTTAAAAATATAAGTGTTTTTTTTCCAATAAAGCATATATAAAAACAAACATCCATATTTAGTATCTATTATAACTATAACTATATACCTAATTATTATTAAATGTGATTTAATTTATTAATTATTTTAATACCCTTTTCTATAATATTTTTGATATCTATTAAAAAATTAATTACTGGTCTAACATTTTTTTTTTTAAATCTAAGAAATTCAGTAGTTGATAGCACCAATGGTTGGTATCTGATAGATCCAAGATGTAGTTGATACCACTGAAGTGGAGTGATGGCTGCCGTATCAGATACAAAGCATCTCTAATGTATCCTTTGAAAGTGCTAATAGATAACTCATTATCATCTGACCTAAAGAGCCATATCTATGGCTGGTGGATAAGAGTCCCACCTTCTCTATTTGATTAAGTCTGAGCTACTGTTGATACTGCTGAAGTTGATAGGGGTTGAGTCAAATATAGGATGCTGTATCAGTTTCCGCCTCCACTTGAATCAGATAGATGTGGCAGTCAATACTTTTTATCAATCTTCCACCCTACTCCCATTTGGTCTATTATTTTGTTACTTTTTTTGATTTAATGAAAGATAATTTTTATATTTTAGAGCTATTATTGTTATTTTAAGAAATGTAAATGTCTTGTCTCTACATGCTTTAATAAGCCATTATTCATTTTAAGTTTTTCACTATATATTATAATAATAATCATGTCATTACGTAATAATTTAATTTAATAAAATTAATTTTAAATATTTATAAATAGGCACAGCGGTCGTGAAGGCCTATTGTACACCTTTATTGATGTCATTCCTTCTCAGAGCGTTATTTTTGCAGTCTCTACAAACTGCAAAAAGCGATATATTTTTCACACAAAGGGGGGGAGAGGGAGAATACATAGGTAAAATTTAAACCAAAATTACTTCATTTAATAATTTTAGGTATCTTTAGAATTCACTAAATAAATTAAGTCAATAGGAATAAATGTATTAAAATAAAATTTAAAAGATGAATCTCTAAAACATATAATACACATAACTATTATTTTAGATACTATGGAAGACTCTTATTTTGTGAGTTTAATACAATACATAAATCTGTTCATTAAAAAAATTAACACATCTTATTAATCAGAAGTTGTCTTCTTGTTCATTGGATCTATTTTGAAGGCTATTGAGATAATTGATAAATGCCAAGGGGGCCTTTAAACTCTCGCATTAATCACCTGCCCCCACCCTATGCCCCCGGAAAATCTGTATAGGCTAAAAGACGAGGAAGGAGAGGCCGAAAAAAAAAAAAAAAAAAAAAAAAAAAACTAAAATATTGAAAAACAAAATCACGAGTAGACATGAAAAATAAGTTATATGCAAAATTCTTCTTCAGAATATTTAAAATAAAATGAAAATTTTGAAATTATAAAAATTTTAATTTTGACATTAACATTTTAAATTCTTTCTATTAGAAAAAATGTAGAAATTGATGAATGAGTGGAAGATTTCTTTCCCTGTTTTAATGAAAAGAAAATGTCACAGTAAGTAAAAATACAAAATCCTAATAAAATTTTTATTTTTATAAATCTTCATGAAATGTAAATGTTTTTTTCAATTTCAGAATATTATTTTTATTTTCCCAATTATTTTATATTACTGCTTTATGTTTATTTGATTTTGTTTAGAATTTATTAAGCCCCGGGAAATTGGTGAGATTGGCGAAGGCATGTATGAATGACCCAAAATGTTGAGCCCTAATAAAAGGAGATGTATTTAAAGCCTTCAAAGTTTGAACTGACTTGTGGAAGGGAGATGAACTCTTGCTGATCCTTTTTAACTTAGCACTGGAGAAGGTGATAGAATCATCACATGAAAATGGAGGGGTGCACATCAGAATGAATCATAAAATCTTTAGATTTGCAGATGATATACCTGTCCTTAGAACCAATCAAGGAGATATTGAGAAACTCGCTTAGACTCTGATTAGAGGATTAGAGCAAATAGGTCTACAAGCAAATGAAGAAGAAACAAGATATATGATAATTAGCCGACAAGTTAAAAAACAAGTGATATATACAAATGTTTCATCTATAAGTAAAACATATATATGTTTATAACCATAAATATATTTACTGAAGTTTTATAACTTTAGATCAAATGCATATTTTAGAACAAATGAACGATGTATACCTCATTATTAAAATATTAAATACAAATATAATTAAATAAATATTATTGGATCTAAAGTTACTAAAGTACAGTAAATTTATTTAAGGTTATCAACATAATTTTATTCATCCCAAGTATTGGATGGAATTTATTTATATTTCATTTATTTTCTCAAATGAGTACCATAAATATTTTAAAATAATTTCATTGCCTTGATTAGGTGAAGTACCTAATCAAAGTATATGTACTTTTTTTTGTCAAGCATAAACTAAATTTTAAAAGTTTTTACAGAAATTCCCTTCAGAATGAACCATAAAGTCCTTGAATTTTCAGATGATATTGCTGCCCATAGAACCAATCAAGAGGATATTGAGAAACTCGCTTAGACTCTGATAAGAGGAGTAGAGCAAATCGGTCTACAAGCAAATGAAGAAGAAACAAAATATATGATAATTAGCTGAAAAGTTAAAAAACATGTGATATACACAAATGTTTCATCTATGAGTGAAACATATATATGTTTATAACCATAAATATATTTACTGAAGTTTTATAACCTTATAACCTCGTATGATAAATGTATCCCTTTCCTAAAACAGAAACAGTGAGACCTTCAGGGTGAGGGAGGAGGATCATGATCGGGGAGGAGGGAGAGGGAGAGGGAGAGGGAGAGGGAGAGGGTGAGGGAGAGAGAGAATTTTTCCTAAATCAAAACATTATCCACATACAATTACTGGGACAAATTTTGATCTGTCGATAATGTATCAATAGGTCTTAGGATTTTTACTTATTCATAGATTAAATATGTGTACTTTCAAATCTATCTTGGTATATAAAAACTGGAGTTTTATGGTCCAGGCGGATGACTTACAAAAATTTTATTGCCTTACGTTGATATAATAAATAGCGTTTGTGTTATTTTGATGGTCTCAATGAGTTTTTGCTTTAATAAATATGACTTAAGTTCAAAAATTTGGTCTTTAAGGTTTAGTCACTTCAAAAAATTTTTTTAATAGCCCAATTTAGTCAGACAATAAATTTTGTTCAAGTAGAACGGCAAGTGAAAGTTGTGTAATTCGCGTAACAGATTTTTTAACATTGTTTTATTCATAATTTGAATGACATTTATTATTGATAGGTTCAATTGTTTGTTTATTTATAATTATACTATTGACAATCTTCATTTACTAAGTATTATGATTCTAAAATGGGTTGTGAAATGAATAATTTTATAATATTATTTTATACAATTTGGTCAGAAAAAATAGTTTTCACCATATTGATAGAAATTTGGTTATAAAAAAAATGTTTTTATGAACATACTTATATTTGGACAGTAAAGCCATACAGAATATTTGGCA